CCTCCTCCTCCTCATCCTCCTCATCCTCCTCCTCCTCTGCAAAATGAGGGTTGTGAAAGCCTCAATGACCCACCCAGTCTTTTATCTTATATTTATCTTACACTCACACCACAGCACACACATTCATGCCGAACAACGAGACGTTCCTGCCTCGCACAGCCCTTGTGCCGCCCGTTGTCGTTTTCCCTGCCATCAACACAGGAGAAGCTACCTATCGCACCGTCGTCATGGGCAACACCGGGGAGATGCCTATAACATACGACCTGACAGAGAGCCTCAAAAACCAGCTCCCAGTGAAGTCTCGATGTGGCACGAAAGAGTCTAAAAAAGAGTAAGTTATTTCTTAATATGTTTTAAAAGAAATAATTACTTCTGTAACTGCTGTATCTTTTTGTACTCATCATAACATTTCTAAATTATGCAAGTTTTTAAAGGTTTTTCTTGTTTTATTCACACTTATTTATTAATGCTTTTTTCTAACATACCGTAGGGCTTTTTATAGAAGTGGAAATGTGATAACATTTTGTGTAATGTACTTGATGAAGCACACTGCTGGAATTTTTAGCCATTAAAGCTCCTAATTAATGTGGCATGATGAGATAACCAAAGCTGAAAGCATTAAACTCAATTCTAATAAAAGATCATTCTTAAAGTTTATTTTCTGTCACTGATTTATTTTTATATATCCAAACACTTGTTCTCGAAGTGTATAGTATGTTTATAGTGTGTTGTTTTATTTTAAGACTTTGTGAAGTGGAAGAGAACTGAAAAGTCTGGAGATTCTGTGCCACGATGTTTTAAGACTGACTATCTTTGTTGAGTCGCTGTTATATTGCAACAAGAAGAGAAATGGTTTTCTTGGAAACCTCATTTTCTTTTTTTTCTTCTGTATTTCTTAGTACCTTTGCTGTCAAGCCAAGTCAGGGTATTCTCAAGTCAGGCTACCAGATCTTTACTATCCGCATGACCCCTAGTGTGGTGAATGCCTTCCAGCATGATCTCAAACTGAGGCTCAACGATAATGAAAAGTATGATCAGGTGAGAGGCTCAGTCAGGAAATTTTGTCTTTTAGTTGCAAGTATTATTTCCTTACACTTGTATGCATTAATTCTAAGTTCTCTCAGAAGTACTCTTTTCACCCTGCTGAAATGCAGAAATGTGAACATTCTCTCATGCACAGAAACATACAAACGTCACATACATCTGCCTCCCATCCCCAACCCCTCCTCCTTTTACATACGCACTCACACATACAAGCATGAATTATTCATCTTTGGAATAGATCATGTTTCCTCAATCAAATAATTGAACTGAACGAGGGAGTAGTGTTTTATTAACCCCTTGGTGACAGCTCTCGTACATCCAACATTGTGTGCCAAGATGCCGTCCTCCCGTACAATGTACGTCCTAAAATCAGCTGATTACGGCAATCGTATGGATCTTACTACACACACCGTACGGGATTTTATAACTGCACTACGATAGCTCTGAACAGAATTTTACCAGAAAATTGGGTGCAGTAAAAGTTTGAACAAATCATACGTCACAAAGGGGTTTAAAACCTAAGTATACTATCCGTCATTTCTTAAACAGAAAAACAAAACATCAGTTGTTATTGTTAATTTTGAGTTTTCACTACTCTGTATATATTCTGTATTCCTAAAGAAAAGGCGCTCATATGACCTTAGCAGTTGTGAGCGCCGTAAAACCCTATACTACTACTACTACTAAAGAAAAGACATGTATTTTAAATGTGTACACTATAATCTATTTCAGCTCATTCACCTGAGTGGATCCGCTGAGTCAGCAGAAGTGTTGCTGGACAATGAAGGCTCCATGTACTTCAAGCCCACCTGTGTGGGCACTCAGTCCTCTAGGACGTATGGCTTCAAGAATGTCTCCCGCATCCCTCTCAGGTAATTGTCTTTAAATGTCAAATGTGGGGCATCGTGGTAAAATCAGGTGCTGATCTTAATAATGAAACTGAAGAAACTGACATTTTTTTTGCCCGTCTGGCAATTTTTATTAATTTTCTTGTTTCCGTCTTCAATTCTATTCAAGATAAATGTGTATTTTCTTCATCAAAAGCAAGGCATATGAACAGGCTTTAAGATTATACCAATAACTAAATATGGTCAAAAATTGATGAGTGCCTGATTCCACCGCTTGGTGACACAAATGTGTGTGATAATAATTTATAGAAACTGTAACATTGATCGATAAGCAAGACTTTTTTAAGCCTGTGTTGAATGTTTCTTAAACTGGGAAGTATTTTATTTGTCATTTTATGTGTTCTTTCTTTTTGTAAACATTCGGCCTTGTGTACATCAGGAGATGGATGTGAGGTGTGTGAGTGGATGAGGGAGAGAAAATCTTTTGTCACTCTTGGGTAACAAACTTTTTATGATTAGATTGTTATTTCCTGTGAATGAATTTTTTAACCCTATCCATATGTCGTGTTTTACTGTCCTATCCATACGATGTGGGGAACTCTGTGCCACCCTGTGAATGAATTTTTTAACCCTATCCATATGTCGTGTTTTACTGTCCTATCCATACGATGTGGGGAACTCTGTGCCACCACTTTCCAAAGAGGAAATTTATTCGTTAGTCCGATCCGTACGCTTTACATAGCATTCTGTCAAAACGATTTTTTGAGAAATACTGAAAGCTTCAAAGAGATTTTCATACTAGAAGTATTCTAAAATGTGAAGAATACAACTCCGGGGGCACAAAATGACCCCCAGGGCGTACGGATAGGGTTAAAGTGTTTATAATTTGTTTGCCTGTCATTACAAGGAATATGGAAGAGGAAAGTTGTCTTTTCTTCTCTGAGAAGAAGACAAAGGAGGTTGGTGGAAGATCTGCGCCACTTTCTTTTTTTCAATGTTACTAAACTGTGTTGATTGTGTCTGGAGCTGTGTGGCCATCATCATGTTATTTTTTCCTTAACATGAAGCTCTATTCTTTAACTTCCTACATCAACAATATGCCATGCCTGATTAATCTCTCTTTTTCCAGATTCCAGTGGCAGTTAGACTATGAAGACCGTAAGGTGTTGAAGGTGGAACCAGACAATGGAGTCATTCAGCCAAATCAATCTCTTGTGAGTAGTTTATTTTTAACCATATTATTATATTTATCTAGCCATCCTAAGCTTTACTTAATTTAACCTTTAAAGAAAAGTGAAGTGCAACACTGTGGTGTCTTGGGAAATGGGCAGGCAGACAGGATGGCCAAACTAGAAGCACAGAAAGAGCAACCAGACATAAGCGTTAACTACACATAAATAAAAACTATTATAAATACATTATTTAAAGCACCTCAGACACCAGTTGGCTGCCATGAGCTGTCCCGCCAAGAACAAGTGATTATCTTCAGACTAAGGACACAACACACAAGACTGAGACAACATATGTACAAATGTTTTAAACTAGTGCAATCACCAAAATGCCAGTGTGGAGAGTCGGACCAAACTGTTGAACAGATCCGTCAGCACTGCAAGACACACAGGGCCCTGAGACAGGAAACGTGGCCAACCCCACTGACGCTGAAAGAGAAGCTATACGGGCTGACAGATGAACTGAGCAGGACGGCCCAATTTATGACAGATACCAGACTTCAAATGTGATGCGATCGAGAAGAAGAAGAAGAAAAAGTGAAGTGCAACTTCTTATGTCTCCTGAGTTTGATGTACATTGTCTTCTTATATTAGCTAAATATTGTTTTTAGAGATTAGAAGAAATGATTGTTCTCATTTGTGGCTCAGACAAAGATTTCATTTGAACATAGAGCTTCCAATTATTTATGATTGTGATAAAAACAAATGCTGCTCAGCATTAAAAAATTAGATCAGGTCATAGTGATTTTTTTCCCCGCTCATCCACACCTAGAACAATTTTTAAATTAAATGGTCTTATTTATCTTATATTTTGTGGTCTACAGATGCAAACTTGGTCCTTCATCCCAGGAGAGGAGAGGAAGTATGTGCTGAAACCTTGTCTGGTGGCCTGGGGCCAGGGGCTGAGTGCCACGTCATCAGGAGGGAAGAAACGGAAATTTTCTATCCGGGTTGTCGGAGAAGGCTCATTGGGAGACATACAGGTGATTGATTAGTCATTGAAAGATATTTTTGGGGTGTAGTTAAACACTGATTAGATATTATGGTGAGGAAATAGTGTAGGTGAAATGTTTACCTCTAAAGAGGAAACAATTTGAAAAGTCAGTCCATCATGGATTCTAAATAATCAGGGTATATTTGAGAATACTTCACTCAGTGATTGTGTAAATAATTGCGTTGAGATCGTTTGTTCATTGAGAGAACAATGAAAGTGCCAATATCAGTTTTTCAATTTACTGAATTTATGTTTATTTGCTGAAAGAAAAAAAAGTTTATGATTTTGCTACTTATTGACGTCGGTGGCTTAGTGGTTAAGCTCTCGGACTCGCAACCGTTAGGTCGTTGGTTCGAATCCCATCAGGGGCCCGACGTTGTCTCCTTGGGAAAGGCACTTTGCACAAATTTTCCTCACTTCACCCAGGTGGAAATGGGTACCCGGCTATAGACAGTGAACGATCTTGTCAGTTTGATAGTGTTTGAGCGCGTGAAATCTGCAGCTTGCACTGTATGCTTCCGCCGAAGCCGAGTATGTTTCAGAGTGTTCTCAGAGGGTCTGCTGGGGTAATAATAGTTGTAAAGCGCATAGAGTATGCTCTTGAGCATGAATATGCGCTATATAAATGCAATTATTATTATTATTATTACTTGATTTCTTGGTTCAAGTTATATGAGAAATGAAAGTTTTAATTCTAATGTCCTATAAAATCCCGTTCAAAACAAAAGTCCTCACTCTGAAATGTCTTTGCTTTTTTTTTTCTAAGCTATATGAAGTCATATAGCAGATAGCATTGAGAAGTTAATGACTATGTTTTACCTTAGGCGTCTATATTGACTATTTAGTGTAAACTCTGCCATTTGATGTATTGAAAAGTGATGTATGATGGGGTGTTACACTGATCAGTTGATATAAAATTGAAGCAATGTTTCTAACAGTACCGTTGAGAAGTTTATGACTGATTTTTATCTTTGGAGTTTATTTGAAGTTGATGCAATGTTTCTGACAGTACCGTTTAGAAGTTCACGATTGATTTTTATCTTCAGAGTTTATTTGAAGTTGATGCAATGTTTCTCATACAGACTGACCTCAGCTACTTGGACTTTGGAGACATTGTGGTGGGCAGCTCCTCCTCTCGAATCATCACCCTGTTCAACAACAGTGGCTGCAGTCTCCACTTCCGTCTGATCATAGACGGAACCGAAGATGGGGATAAGGCGGGCTCTGGTCGAAGTGAAAGACCAGGTGAGTCAGTCTAGGCTCAGAAAAGATGGTAAATTAATGATACGATAACATAGTGATAATATGAGATAATGATAATTTATTATATAGGTTAGACAAGATAATAATAAATTAAAAGTGATAAATATTGACAGCTTATAATTATGATGGAATGGTAAGACAGAAAAAGGACTAACTGCCATAATGGTAAGAAGAGAAAAAATATATTGTGATGCTAATATGTAAGATAAGGTTATTTTAGTTAAGATAACAATAAGATAATGATTCACAAAACCTTGGTGGCCATTTTCTAGCTAATTTTACCTCTGACCCCTAGTGACCCTCACCTCCTTGAATCATTTATATATCTCAACTTCTGTTCAAGATAGGTGGATAGTTTTGTTCCCATCGAAAGCAGGGCAAATGAATAAGCTTTCAGACAATACCAATGACTCTATATGCCGATAAACTGATGACCACATGATTCCACAGCATCGTAACACAATTGCTCTGTTATTTTCCCCTAGGCCTGGAGTTTGACATCATGGAGGGAGTCCTCCCGGCCAGAAGCAAGCAGTTGGTCACAGCTGTGGTCAGACCCATGAAGCGTGTGGCTTACCAGTATGCCATCAGCTATCAGCTGGTCACCCCACATGGTGAGTTCTACGCAGGTTTGTGGAATTTTCTTGTTAGAGAAAATGTATGTTTCAAATGATATGACTTAAGCTTTTAGTTATTTTTTGTAGAGGTTTTTCTGCACTCACAACTGCTTAAGGTCATATGAGCGCCAAGGGGTGGATGTCAACAGAGAAGTCCAATGTAAAGCGCATTGAGCTACTTTTTGGAAATGCGCTATATAAATGTTATATATTATTATTATTATTATTATTATTATTATTATTATTATTATTATTATTATTATTATTATTATTATTATTATTATTATTATACTACCTCACAGGGAATCACTAAAGCTTTATAGAAAGTAAGTCAAAGGGCAAGAGCTCAAATGATTTCTGGATCAGACAAGTAAAGTAAGTAATGGAGCTGCTTATGTGTCTTTTTAAAAATTTGCTGAGTCTCAGTCTTACAATGTTCCCTTTCATAATTTCAACATGTTGTTAGAGCTATGTACTTGGGGGCTGGGAAGAATGGAGAATAAGACTGGCCTGGTTTTATGATTGACTCAAGCTGAAAAAGGAATGATCATGTGTCGTCTGCTTTTTTGGAAGAGGAGGAAGAGGAGGAGGTGGAAGATGAGGAAAAGGAGGAGGCAGTGAGGGAAGCAGAGGAGGAGGAGAAAGTGGAGGAGGAGGAGGAGAAGGAGGTAGTGGCAGCAGAGGAGGAGACAGAGAATGAGAAAAGGAACTTAAAAAACACCCCCCAAGGACAAGAAAAAGAAGAAGAAGAAGAGGAGAAGGAGGAGGAGGAGGAGGAGAAGGAGAAGAAGAAGAAGAAGAAGAAGAAGAAGAAGAAGAAGAAGAAGAAGAAGAAGAAGAAGAAGAAGAAGAAGAAGAAGAAGAAGAAGAAGAAGAAGAAGAAGAAGAAGAAGAAGAAAAAGAAGAAGAAGAAAAAAAACAAGAAGAAGAAGAAAAAGAAGAACAAGGAGAAACCAGTCACTGTATTCCCATGTTATCATTTGTGCAGGAGAAGTGGCCCACCCAGCAGTGGAGGAGCCCCAACATCTGATGCACCTGCTGGCCACCGGCGTGTACCCGGTCATGTCTGTCACCGACATCCGTTCCCTGGGCAGTGCTGTGGGCATCAGCAAAAAGGCCTTGTGGAACCTCTTCTCCATTGACAAGTATGGACATTTTTTTGTTTTGTTTTGTTTTTTTGTTTTGTTATTTTGTTTGTTTGTTGCTTTTTTTTTATGTGGTTGTTCTTATGCCCCCATTGACACAATTTAGATTTTAAAAAGTCTCACCTCTTTTCTTTTTTTCTTTTTCAACAGTATTTGGTGTCTTTCTCGTAGAAAAATACTAGTATTACAAATTGAGAGTGGGGAAAGGAGGGAGGGTGCACTCATGGTTTTAAAAAACATTTTTTTTTTTAAGCAGGTGTTTTTATCCCCTATCGATACAGTTTAGATCATTTAGAAGACGGGCTTCTGACCCTTCTGTCAGGCTGAGAGGATACAACATCCCACCAGAAAGACGGAGGTTCTTGATAAAATTGTCCACTCATGGGAATTGAACTCAGAGGGAAACACCTAACTATTACACCACAGTTACTGGTTGGCATTTTCTGCAGTGCTTAAAGATTTTCATGCTCAATGAGATGGTTCAGTTTATTTTTTCTGATCAGATGGTTTTTGAAACTCTCTTTTCTCAAATGCAATTAGTGGTGGATGTATTGCAGTTGGTGCTAATTTGTTCTGCAGCAGTGTCTAAAAGATAGTATATGTTTTACCATTCTTTAGCATACCTAAAGTACATAATTATTTGTTTCTAGTATTTATGTCTCCTAATTCATCACATTTGTGTCGCAAAGCAATGGAATCAGGCACTTGTCAGTTTTTGCGCATGTGGAGTTATTGGTGTCATCTGAAAGCTGATTTATTCGCCCTGTTTTAAATGAAATAAAAATCTATCTATCTTGAATAGAACGCAAGATATTTACAATTGAAGGAAGTGAGGTTGCCTGGTTTCAGTGGTGAAATTAGCGAGAAAATGGCCGCCAAAGTTTGGTAATTCCAGTAGCTAAAGAGTCCTTGGAAACAGAAAAATGACATATTTTGTTCCTTTAATCAATGTTTTTAAGTAAAATTCACATGGAAATGTGTTTTTGTACGGACCTAAAAGAGGTTGAGCCCAAAAATAAATATTTGATGAAAATTTCCTAACTTTCAGAAAAATGCCTGTTTCTCCGATTTCTGTGTTTTGACAAGCACCTGATTTCACCATGCTGCCTCACATTTACTTCTGTATTATACTTCTGTATTAATTTTTATAGGTATAACTAAATTTTTGACCTTCACAAAATATTGACTATTATTTCTATGTTTTACTCACAAAAAAAAAATCTCCCCTCGACGCTTAACGGCAACGGAGGATGAAAAAGTAAAAAAGTAAGTAGTAGCCTACTCTAAAAAATGATAACTTTTTTCCTTGACTTTTTCCTTTTCTCACAGCTTGAATGCCTACCTGGATTCAGATCCTTCATCTGATGAGCTGATGTACAACATTGCTACGAGGCACAGGTAAATTCCAGTCTGTCGATTATTTTTACGTGTACAGTTGTTGGGAACGGATAACTCAAGACATGTTGGGTGTTGACGAATGTATTTGACACATCCACAAAAAGGGTCAACCGATAACGAAAGATAAAAGAGATATGAATCTGAAAAATGGCAATTTGTACGAGCTATCCATGATTTTATGAGTTTTTTTGTGAACGTGTTATCTGTGCGTGACTGTATTTTGCTTTTTTTGTAGTCTTTGTCTTTTTGTTGTTCTATTTATATCAAAGCAACCCCCTCCCTCAAATCCAGTTGTTATGTCCTAATGTTAATGATCAGGCTTTTGTAAAAATTAGGGGTATTTTAGTTTTCACTATCGTCACTTTGACTCCTTTCTGCCAACATTTTTTAAAAACAAATGTGCTGGCCAGTCTTTATGAACTAACTTGACACGAAAATGTTGGATGTTGAGATCCAAGCAGGGTCTGAAAGCAATTGATATACCAAAAAAACACTAATAGAAAACAAACAGAATTTAACCACCCCCACAAAAATCCTTAAAAACTTGAAGAAAGATTTGAACATTGATAAGTATTATAATGCCTTCATTTACTTAGGAAATTACTGTGCTTTCCATAGTTCAGGTTTTCTCTTGCTGTGTAAATTCAAGTGTGTAATTTTACTAAGGCATACAGCCACTTGCTCTTGTCACCATTTTTTCTTTTCAGCCACCACATCTTTTTAGTGAGCTCATTGGTCTTCAGTCATTTTTATATAAATACAACTATATAAATTGTCCTTTTATTAATTCAAAATTGATTTGATATTGATTTAACTTATACATTCCAAAATGCAATGTACTGTATTCTGATCAATAAAAGGGAGAAACAAAAAAATCCTTACATATTTTATGAAGTTCCGTTTCCTTTCTGTGCAAATCTTGTATTGTAGTCTATAATTGATAATATCCTCTATGCTCTTTTTTTTTCAGTACGAGGAAACGGCCAAGTGTCATGACTCGAGCTATTCTGGACTTCAACTTCTCAGCTGCTCCGTTGGGTTCAGAGGCTTGTACTGTGAGCATTTCCTTTGACAACAACGGCACTGTGCCATGTGAATGGTGAGAGGATGTTTTTTTTATACATGCTGTTTTTCAGAGTAATTACAGTTGAGCTTAATTTGTAAATGCAGGAACGTGCAATAAAAGTTAGTACAGTCAAAATGGTCTAATGGCCACTTGTATAATACAATCACCTGTACAAATGACCACTTTCTATTTTTCCCCTTGCATTTTTAAAAACCATTATAGTGACTCCACCTGCCAGAAACAACCACTTTTCTCCTTGCCAATGTGTGGCTGTCTTAGACAAGCTCGACTGTATTTTTATTCAAGGTTACTGATATAAAATATTGTATAGACTAGACTCGAAAAGCCTTATGTCAATAAAATTTCTGTTGAAAGTTTTTGAAACTGTGGTAAGTGATGATTGTATGGGAGGTGCTGGATTGGAAGGAACTTTTAATTTACTTCACAGTGACACTGTAGAGTGACGAAGAAAAGATATATTCCCACTCAACACAGAAAGTAAAGGAAAATTCAGGGCTCTCCTTTTTCTTTTTCGTTTACATGAAGAGATTATAATGGACTCCGCTTCATGGTTTCTTTTTTACAGGGCCTTCATGTTTCCTCGGGACATTCAGATGGAGTTGGGCTATTGGACAGAATCTGGCGACTGTGACCAGGATGAATTACATGATGTAAGTTGCCATATTGTCTGATATAACAAATTTTTTACAGTGGAACCTGTGTAAAACGGCCACGCATTGTCAAGGAGAAAAGTGGCTGTATAACACAGGTGGCCGTCTTAGGCAAGACTGAGCAAAATGAAGAAAGCAAACCATTCTCTTTGGAGGTCCAAACCGGGACTGAACTCAGGCTTAGGACTGCCGTCTGGGGAATTTAAAAGGGTTTTTGTTTTCTTTTGAAAAAGAAGGGTGGAGAGGTGTTAGAAGGGTTTTTTGTTGTTGTTTTGTTGATTTTTTCTTGTTTTTTTGGTTAGCTTTTTATTTGTTGTTGATTCTGCGCATGGGTAAGATAAACGAATGTAAGACGATGAAGACCGAGTGCCATGGTAAAACAAACACATGGGTGGCCACCACTTGGAGAACGAGCCACGCTTCTGTCAACACCCATTGTTACTTTGTTACAGATTAGGTAAACAAAACAGTGACCTGTCACCTCACTTACGATTTTTGCATGAGTTGTGGGCGGGGCTTATACTGTCGGTTATGACGGATCACATGCTTCCCTCAACAGCACTTGAAAATTTATTATAACCCATTGGTCGACATGGGTAAACATTCATTGAAGGGACTGACAATAACGACAGGTGAGTGGATTATGATGGCCCGTCCACAGCGTCAGGGGCCGATATAAAATTTATGACAAAGCATCTGGTGAATGGAGACCACGCCTGACCGCCTGAGGCAGGTAAAGTTGGCTGAAGGTAGATAAAATAAGGTGGCAGCGGCCCAGTTGGACATGTGACCGTTTTACACAGTTAAACTATATAGAAAAAAACGGAAGGGGGGAAATGGAAAGTGGCCGATTGTACAGGTGGCCATGTTATACAGGTGACCACCATGGCAGGTTTGACTGTAGTTACTTATTGATTTGTACTTTTTGATTATTAGTTGTTAATTAATTACTTATTGATTATTACTTATTGATTATCCCATACTAATTAATTACCTATAGATTGATCATGTATTGATTGATTATGTATTGATTGATTACGTATTGGTTATTACTTATTGATTGTTACTTATTGATTGTTAGTTATTGATTAATTACTCATTAATTACAATTACTACTTATTTATAATAACTTTTGGATTATTTACTTATTGATTAATTACTTACTGATATTCTTCAGATGAAAGTCATGGACAACAAGCTGTTCTCCGTGACCCCAAAGAAAGGCACCCTGAGGCCTGGGGAGCAAATCACGGTGACCTTCAGCTACCAGCACACCATGGCCGGCACCGACAGACTCCCTGTGCTGCTCAAACTGGCCAAGGGAAGGGAAATAATGGTATGATGATATTTTGATAAATTTGCATTTTACTTTTTGTCGTAATTGTTTTGCTTTGAAGCGAAGCACTGTACATTGATTGCTCTGTCCAAACCTACTCCTCCGTTTGTGTCCGGTTGAAGCCCAAAAGCTCAAAACAGTCTGCTGGTGTGAAATGTTGCGCACTAAAAATAATGATGGAATAATTTCTGAATCATATAGTAAACATAATATATGTTATCTGAAAGTGTTTTTTAAAGATTGGTTTATTATTTATTTTGCTCATAGTATATTAAACTTTGATAAGTCTAAAATGTATCATGAATGAGGTCAAGATTTTATCATAATTTTGGGAGCATCACTTCTCTATCGTCTATTGAACCCCTCCCCGCAATGTGTAAAATCATGAACTTTACTCATTTCTGATGTCTCTGGTTTTGAACGTTTCAGCTGAACTTTGTTGGTGTGACAGTGCAGCCGGAGAAGCCCTACATCCACTTCCCGTCCAACAAACACACGTTCAATCCAGTGCCGGTTGGGGAGAAGATCAGTCCTAAACAGGTGTGTGTTCATTCGTTTAATTTCTTCTGTTTGTGTTATCCCGGGGTTATGTTGTTTTAGTAGAGGTTTTACGCCGCTTGCAACTGCATAAGGTCATATAAGCGCCAAAGGGGTGGATGTCAACAGAGAAATCCGTACAGGGAATCAGGCTTACTCTGCTCACCTCTCTAGCTTCAACAGCACTCTACCAGGCTTACTGGCATGTGATGAATAATGATTCGATTCATTTTTCTTTGCATGCAGAAGATGTGAGGTTGATTTCCCAATTTTGGAAGATATTTCATTGTGTCTGTCCTCCTGCCATGGAGTAGGTCCTCACTTTGGCAGAATTTTCCTTTACAGACAAAGCCAAAGAGGCCTGTGTGCTAAATGAATTAAATTGTGTCGATTTACAATCTGATACCTGGGACAATAACAACAAAGTCTCAACAAAAATAAATCGATAGAGATGCGTGTTATGCCTTGGTTAATAACAACAAAGTTAAACTATAGATGTATTTCTTATCATTGTGAATGGTTCAACGATTCTGCCTATAAGTTGCTTACATCATTTTTTTGTCTGTCTTTTCATTGTTTTTCCAGGTTAGTGTTTGAACCCTTTATAATTTACAATTCTTTCGGATGAAATATTTGTTGTTTCTTTTGTATTTCAAGCTGACCACGACCTGTGGCCATGATTTGAATGTTGTATAGTTTTGTGTTACTCAAAGCCCACTTTCCAAATATGATATTGTGCAGGTGTATGAGCTGTACAATGGAGGAGCTGTCCCAGTCAACTATGAATGTGACCTCACACCCCTGGATATCATCAGACAAGTGAGGCGAAAACTTTTCTTTTTCAAAAGTTTTAAACTTTATACTTCGCTGATGAGCTCCGTGGTAGTCTGTATTATTTTCGCTCACTGAGGTACGTTTTCAGACTGAATCACGGAACCAACACGTTAGGGTAACTTCTATTTTTTTAAAAACTTGTAAGAATTACATAATCAAACTATCAGTATCGTTAATGTTTTTTTGTGTGTTTTGTTGAGAATATTGTGAGAGAGGATATCCGATAGTCTATTTTAATTATTGTCCTATTAGAAAATTCAGTCATATTTGTTCAGCTTGGATTTAGTGGAGCTTGAAATATCTTTCCTTTGTTTCTACTTTGTCCAGGAAAACTTTGACCAGCCAATCTTTGAGTGTTTGAACCCGTGTGGAGAGATTCCCCCAGGCAGAGCTGTGGCCATTGAATGGAGGTTCTTCCCTCTGGAGGCCAAAACATACATGGTGAGTTGCGATACTGTGTTCAGTTATCTCCTTATCTCCGCCAAGATGCTCGCAGTGGCTTGCGAACATTCCTTTATGACGACTGTGATGTTAAATTACTTTTCGGCAAATCGAAATATGTTCACTTGTTTTGATTTAATGGTGAATTTAGTAACGCATATGTCACTTCTAGATTACATACCAAAAGAGGGCCCTGGCACAGCTGGTTTACCCCCCTTCGAAGATAAAGAGTTAAGTTATAGTTTGTGGTGAGTAAGCTTGATAATAGTTAATTTTTTAAGTGCTCAGAGCCTGTGTTCTTTTATTAGAGTAGAGCACTATATAAATGTCAGGTATCATATTTTTCATCTCTTTGTGATTCGCAGGTTGACATTCCAATCAAAGTTCACAACGGGGACACAGCTATTGTGACCTTCACAGGGATCGGCTATGACAAGAGGATCATGGGAGACACGATGCCCTTCTCTGACCAGCCGGACATGTGTGGAGTTCCGAGTGTGCAGAGTGCAGAAATACCTGGACAGGTGAGAGTTTTCTGTTTGTTCCATGGTTGTCATTTATTATGCCGAAAAGCTGTTCAACTGTTCTCTGCCCACAAAGCAACATTTTTCAGGACTTTTAGTTTCGTAAGAGTTTTATTGCACTTGCAACACAATAAGGTCATATAAGTGCTGAAAAATGGATGTGTTACAAGAGAGTAACATACACAAAAAAGACAGAGGAGAGATAAAGACGATAGATTTTCAGGACTGAGAAAAAAAACTGTTTCATTCTTTTAAAAGTTGTCCCCAAATTATGTATCTTTTCTCACTTTTCTAAAAACATTTGGAATTTGAATTTTGACAAAATATTTCTGGAGCACATGCAACTGAATTCACAGATTTAAAAATTGCAATAAAAATACATGAAACAATTTGTGCTAAGTACCTCTGAACAGATGGCCAACCATAAGCATTTTGTATGTTTATGAAGAGGCTTTTGGGTTTATTTTAAAGCTTAGTGAATTTGGAAAAATTACCCCATCATGTCAATTATACCGAGTATTTTTTTTGTGGTGTCACAAAAAAACAACTGTTGATTGATCTTACATCATGCATGACATTTCTCCACTCACTCTCTTTCTGAAATCTTCTGCAGCTTGGGTATCTGTCTATGGAGAGGATATCCTTTGGTAACATGCCCCTGTTCAGCCAAGCGAGACGGATGGTGTTCATCACTAACAAGTCCAAGGAGAGGTCAATCTTCTTTGAGTGGCATGTCACGTCACAGACTGACACACAGGTGAGAGGCAGTCTATGAGGAGGAAACGATTTACGAGGAGAGAGAGAGAGAGAGAGAGAGAGAGAGAGAGAGAGAGAGAGAGAGAGAGAAAGAGAGAGAGAGAGAGAGAAAGAGAGAGAGAGAGAGAGAGAGATTTTTGTGGCTGTTCATCAGGCTTTTCTTTTAATGCATGACAGTATCAGAGACCAGCTTAGTAAACCCTCTCCTCAAGTAGGACAGTTTTGGTGTTATTGTTAAAAAAATTGAAATAAATGTCAATATATCTTATAAAAACGTCAGCTCTTATACTTGCAATAAATGATGATATTAAAAAGAACACATGAAATTAAGATAGGCACTTCATTCTTCTGGATGTAATTTGAAGTTTATTAACACCGTTGGTTCAGCCATGTAAGGGAGTAGGAGACAGATTACTTTTTGCATCTATTGTACTTTACAAATATTGGCACCAAACAGGACAATGGCTAAAAACCCCAAAAATGTTTGTGAAGGGTGCTGACGAAATGAGTTACTTCTCAGATTCAAACCCAATGGAAATCGCTCCATCACACTGATAGGTGAAGTTTTTACAATTTATAAGTTTGAAATAATAAAGGGCATGTTATACTTAAAGAATATGATATCAATAGAGAATCTACAAATTTAACCCTAGTGTCGATTTTTGGCTAATATCTCCATTTGTGGAATGTGAGAAAAAACTCATTTTGTCAGCACAGCTCACATTTGGTCATTTATTGCAGTTCCTCAACATCTACCCCATGCATGGTGAGATTGCTCCAAATGAGTACAAGATGTGCCGTGTGACCTTCCTCGCTAGTGGAGTCCCGTCTTTCTACGATCTGGACCTGGTGTGTGAGGTAAGAAGAAGAAGAAGCTGTCTTATAGACTTATCCCCTTTGATGAATGGCGAGCTACGATTGATCCGCTCAGTATTTTTTTCATCACTAATACAGGCCTATCATCGGCTCCACTATAGGCCACTAGAAACACTCAAACTATTCCTGTTCAGATTTGATTGAATAATATTCAAATTTTGATCCTCAAATATTCATTTTTTCACGGTCTCCTTTCTATTTCAGTGATCTGGATTATTTTTCCATGTTTACTTTGTAGAATGAGTTGAGTAGATCTAATTGGTTAACCCCCTCCCCTACCCCATTCCAATAATGAAAATTTAGAAAAAGCAGTTAAGTAGTAATTGAACCCAACACCCCTCCCCCCCTCCCCCCATCCCCGACTCTTATACTGAAGACTCTTTTGAAGTAAAAAAACAACCCCAAACATATAAGGAGCAGGGACCTTTTTTTACATGTACAAAAATTACTATAAGTCTAGGGAATAGAGCAGTTTCATTCAGTTTATTTACTACAACAGACACAATAGCAGCACAAATTATGCAACAGTAAATAAATTAGGCAAAACAGCTGTGACAATGACAGCAATGGCAAACCACAAATGAGAGCTTGAGCAACAGCAATCACAATGACAACAATTTTTTTTCTCCACTTGCTGTGCGAGTCTAATTTGGTAGTAGGTCTATTTAGTTTGAAATTTGAATGAACAAAAATGTTCAGGTATTTGGATTAGGACGTTATCTCCGTGAAAACCAGATGCGAGTTGGAAATGTCATTTGTATTTTCTGGAAAAGTCCTTTAAATGATAATGGTGACCAAACTCACGTTCCGTTCCTCAGGTGGCTGACCTCCACAAGCACACAGAGTACAGGAAACAGCTGGCATTGTGGGAGAAGGAGAGAGACCGGCAGCTCAACGAGTTTGTCATCACCGAGCATGACCTACACGCTGACATGCGCACCCCTCATGTGGTGGATATTGTGGTAATTGGGCTGTTTTCAAACTGTCTTTAATAAATAATGTGGTTATTGGGCTGTTTTCAGACTGTCTTTAATAAATATCGTGGTAATTGGGGTGTTTTCAAACTGTCTTTAATAAATATTGTGATAATTGGGCTGTTTTCAAACTGTCTTTAATAAATATTGTGGTAATTGGGGTGTTTTCAAACTGTCTTTAATAAATAATGTGGTTATTGGGCTGTTTTCAGACTGTCTTTAATAAATATCGTGGTAATTGGGGTGTTTTCAAACTGTCTTTAATAAATATTGTGATAATTGGGCTGTTTTCAAACTGTCTTTAATAAATTTTGTGGTAATTGGGCTGTTTTCAAACTGTCTCTGAGAACCCCAGTCCAATATATAAAATGTGAAGGGTGCTGACGAAATGAGTTACTTCTCAGATTCGCGCCTTATGGAAATCGCTCCGTCACACTGATAGGTGAAGTTTTTACAATTTATAAGTATGAAATAATAAAGGGCATGTTATACTTAAAGAATATGACATCAATAGAAAATGTACAAATTTGACCTCAGTGTCGATTTTTGGCCTATATCTCCATTTGTGGATGGTGAGAAAATACTCATTTTGTCAGCACAGGTCACAAATATTAATAATTGCTAAATTGTAAATAATTTACTTGTAATATTTGACAGACGTTATAATCTTTTATTTGTTTGAGTTTATTAATTTTTTCATTAATAAAGTTTATATTTTTTAGTGGTAAAACAGCAAATTAGATAATGAAAAGCTTTGACAGTACAGATTTGTATTTATGTTATGAGCTGGTCCAGATACAGCCTTGTTATCTCGTTAAATCCTTCCCAGGATTGTTATGAATATAAGAATATCTATAACAATGTTTCAACTTTATCTTAGTTAGATAGACAGATAATTGCCTCCGACTTGGTTTCATACAATGTACTGTGAAAACCTGATATAACAGGGATGGTGGGACCAGAGAAAAAGTCCTGTTATATCAGATCCCTGTTAAATCAGAAATACAAGGGAAGTAAGCATTTGTGAACTAATCCAGCTGTGTTTATTCATGGGTAGTTTCCCTTGCCACAAGTACCCACGAACAGGGGTTTTGGCCTTGTGCAGGCAACACATCACGCGCGTGTGCAGCTAGGCTTAGGGCTAGATCAAAGTCTGAAGCACACCGCAGCCCTCTCTCGCTTTACCCGCTGTGTGTGCTTGCAGTGGCGTGGCTTGCATGGGCTTGCTCCATCGCTGTGTTTTCTCTCTCTCTCTCTCTCTCTCTCTCTCTCTCTCTCTCTCTCTCTCTTACTTTTTACACTTTGTTAACGAGCCTTTGTCCCTGCTATAACCGGTTGGGCTCCGATGAGGCCCTGTTATTGCTGATAACTTTTAATAGAGACAAAGAGTAGGAAAGAACGGGGATTTAAAAAATTGTTTATTTCAACATGAAGTTTGTTTGCTATTACGTTTAAAAAAAAAAAAAACAACAAAATACAATCAGTGTTAATTGTATGAATCCATAAAGAGAGTGTCCCTCTCAGAACACAGAACAGGAGATTAACATTTAATCAACAGTCCTGTGCAAGTTTTGTTTCTGATTGTCTTCTTAACTTGGACAAAAAAAACCCCTGAAAAGCTTTGCACTGTTGATTGCATTTAAGTCAGAACCCCCCCTCCCCCCCCCGCAGAAATTGACTTTTTGAATTTTAGGCTGTTATGACAGTTCTAGAACAACTTTTTGAGAATGGGTCATGTAATCTTTTCTCAAGTATTATGTCTTATTCATGTATCATTACATATATATGTGTATATATTGTGTATATATCATGATGTATAATTTTTTTTTCAGGATGGCCCTCCTTCTGGTCGTCTTTCCAAACTGGATGCTCTTGCTGAAGGCAGGCCAGTCTCTGCTGATGGAGAACTGAGCAAATACAAGGTTTGTGCTCTTGGGTTTTTTTTGTGTTTTTTTAGAAAACACTCATCAAATCGTTTGATTCTGTGCGTGGGACAGTTAAAATTTTGTATGTTTGCGGTACTGATCAAAAGTTGATCATCATTCTCTGAAAGATCAGAAAGACAGAAACATGCTTCTCTCTCTCTCTCTCTTGCCCTATTTAACTCTCAGTGGAGCATAGGCCATCAACAACATTTCTCCAGCGAAGCCTGTCCTGTGTATCCTTTACTAGCTGTTTCCATGATGTCCCTGCCTTTTCAATTTCCGCTTGTACCACTTGCCTCCATGTCATCTTTGGTCTTCCCTTCTTACGTTTTTCCTTGTAGATTCCACGTCAAAGCCTGTCTGATGTTGCTTGTCGGGGGTCTCCTCAGGGTATATCCAATCCGTTTCCATTTCTTCACCTGTATGTCTTCCTTTACTGGCCTTTGGCTTGTTCCCTACCACAGTCGAGCATTTGTGACTCGATCGTACCACTTAATCGCCACTATCCTTCTTAGTTTGATAATTTGATTCTGTGTGTGGGACAGGTACAATTTTGTCTGTTTGCGGTACTGGTCAAAAGTTGATCATCATTCTCTAGAAGATCAGAAAAACAAAAACATGCTTCTTTTGGATTCAGTCCTAAATTAGTTATTCCAGGTTCAATTTACAGTGAATTATGATCACTTGAATAGGTGGATGCTATATGTGGTGTGGATTGCTCATTATTCTTCTTTTTGGTTTCACTATTATCCCATTCTGATACTCGAGAAATATGTGTGGTTTGATGTTTACTTGCTTTTAACTACAACTTAACAATATATGACAATCAGCAACAGCTGAGCTCTTGTCCTTTTCTCAATGCCATATAGTGATAAGTCAGGTATGCTGCAATAAACTCACTGTCTTAAGTTTTTTCTTGTTTTCTCTGGCATCATTTGTTCATTTTTGTCTTTTCTTCACATTTCAGACCCTACCTCCCATAAGGCAGCTGACAGCCGATGAGAAGCGAGAGGTGGAGCGAAGACGGCAGAAGAAAATGTCCCAGCTGTGGCAGAAGCCAGAGCCTCAGAAACCGTTCTTGCTGCACCTTGGCATCACAGCAAGGACACACGACACCAGGCACTTCCAGGTATGTGGCTTAGTTTGTGTAATTTTCCTTATTATGTATGTCACGACGCTGTGGAATCGGGCGCTTGTCAAATTTTAGACGTGTTGAATTACTGGTGTCATCTTCAAGCTTGTTCATTTGTCTATCTTTTGATGAAAAAATGCTCATCTATCTTGAATAAAGTTTGCGATTGAACAAGGTTGGCACCGCCTGGTTTCAACGGTAAAATTAGTGAGAAAACTACTACCAAAATTTGGTGACTGCCATAGCACCAAAGCTGTAGAGAGGAAGAGCCCGATACAGCTACGCATTCTCTCCTGATGATCTCCATGCTAGAGTCCAGGATACGGAGCGTATGGCTGTGAGCAGTGCATACGGCTGTTTTAGACTATGAGAGTCCTTGCCATTGTAACTTAAAATTTTTGTGCCTTTAATCTATATTTTTCAATAAAATCAACACAGAAATGTGTTTTCAAATTGACATAAAAGCTGTTGAGCTAAACAACAAAAATTTGATAAAAGTTGCCAAACTGGCTGAAAAATGGCGGTACCGGTATCTTTGATTTCATTATTTTGACGAGCACCTGATTTCACTACGATGCCTGACATATGTTTCATCAAAATGCTGTACCCAAATCATGAAAAAATTTGGAACCCACAAATACTTAAAGAAATAAATTCACTGAAAATTAATTTAATTTTACTTACATCCTAATTGGCTCTCTTCTAAAGAGAGGTTTATTCTTTATAATAACAGGGCATTGGTGGTTGGCTTGCAGGTGCTCTATTGGGGTTTGCTCCTTCTCTCCTATTAAACACCTTTCGTCTTCATCTCTCTTTCTTTTCTTTGTATGTTATTCTCACGTAGCACTTTTTATCTTCAGCACTTTTAGGACCTAATTGTGTTGCAAGTGCCGTAAAATGCTTAGTAAAACAAAAACAAAAACAGTGCTTTGATGTTTCTAAATTTATATTATATCAATGTGTGGCATTTCTACAGACTAACTTCCCTGAGGAGTATTGCCACTTCTACGTTGACCGCACGCTGAGTGACCGCCAGTCCAACAAGAACCAGCCCGAGATGTCCGCAGCCCCGACCCACATTGACTGCTCTGTGGCCGAGTCCAACATTGTGGCCAGTGTCCTCGGGAACTGTCTCAGGTATGGGGGAGGGAAGATGGAAGAAAAATGTAAATAAATAGAAACTTTATTTATCTCTTCACAAACATCCAGTTTAACTCCTTATTTCCACAAGCTGCTCCCAGCAGCTCATGGTCGGAACTATTGTGTGTCGATTAGCCCCTGGCAGAGGCTTGGGCATGTTCCTTTACGATGACTATGACGTCAAATTGCTTTTTGGTATTTGCCAAAGACAGGTCTCATTTACTGGGAGTTCATGCAGTAGATCAAGAACTGTCGAAATAGGTTCACTTGTTTTGATTTTATGACCAATTTAATGATGTATATGTCAGTTTTAGATTTCGTGCCAAAAGAGGGCCCTGGCATAATGGGTTTACCCCCCTCGGAGATAAAGAGTCCAAATGAATGTTATATATGAGGTAAGAGAAAAGAAAAGAGGGAGAGTGGCATTGACTGAAAGGATGAATTATAAATGAAAGGAAGGATTCCGGGATGTTGTAGTGGAAAGAAGAAAATATACATCCCAAAAATTTCTTAAATGAGACCTTTGGCTAAGAGGTAATCCTATTAATATGTGAAGATTGACAATGAAATGTGGGAGTAGTGAAGGCTAAACATTGGCTTGAGAGAGCAGAGACGGGTTGCAAGAAAATGTGGAGATTGACATGCTAGACGAAGTGAGTGCTGGAGAGAAAGGAAAATAAGTAAGGCATAGTTTGGTTGGAAATAAACCTGTTGCACCTGTCCATGAACCTTGAGAAAAGTGCTTCTCACTAGGGTGGCTGCCTTCTTCAGGTAACCTGTCCTTTTCGTTGTCCTCCCTGAAAAACTACCGTCTGCTGAGCTGAAGGTCATATTGAAGATAAGAAGGATCTTCTCTTAGGCTTTTGGACTCAAATGTTCCTGTTGTTGTTTTTATTGTTCTTGTTATTATCTCAATTTGGTGAATTATTAACATTTTTCCGATTTGTGAAAGTAAATAACTTATAGTTTCCAAATTGTAAGAACAAAACACAAGCTGTGTGACTTTGACCCTTCACAGAGGCCTCCTGGACGACACGTACTTCATCCAGGCAGTGAAGAAGGTCATGCAGGAGCCAGTGCCGTACTTCCGCCAGTTTGCCACCCCGCGACCGACGTCAGCCCCGCTGTCAAGCACCCCGAGAGACGAACAAGCGGAGAGTGTTGGAGAGCTGGAGCTGACCAAGGACGGAGACGCTGCTGAGGACAAGAAGTCTTCACTCAGTAGAGAAGTCTCGCAAGTTATTGAGGGTGAGATAGAGATGCAGTCGAGGCCAGTGACGGGCAATGACATCCATTTTGACATGGAGGGAGATGAGACTTTGATTTTGCCGGATAGCGAAAGGGTAGGTGTTTAGTACTAGACTTACTAATACGACTGATAACTCAGGATAAACTTGTGACAAAGAAAATCTTTCAGGAATCGTTTTTCAACACCAGATTAGTATTTTGGTTTAAAAAAAATTATAACTTTATTCATATTTTCTCTTTTTGTTTAGCTTTCTAATTCATAATAAGTAGCTTTGGCAAGAACTTGTTGAGGTAAACTATCTCTTAAAAAATGTTTCTGAACAAACTTTCCTTTTATTTTTATTTAAAAATTCCTGATAATGGGTGTCCGAAGTATGGTTTAGAAAGCAGGGCTCAGCTCACCTGTCAATACTCTTGGTCTTTGTGTTACAGAGCTTGTCCCTCCATGAGTCTGCCTCCCTGCCAGCCACTCCTACAGTCATCCCCCGGACGGAGGAGGAGAGGAAGAGATTCACTCAGGAGGCCCTGCTGCTGAAGGAGAAACAGACTCTGAAAAAGTAGGACCTTCTACTTCCTCTCATTCTCCCTAAATGTTTGCATTCTTTCTCTTACAACTCAACTTGGAACTTTCTTTTGTAGCCTATATTTTTTTTCTGTTTTCTATTCTCTTTTGTCTAGTTGAGTTTGTTAAAAACATTCACTGCCTCTATTTTCATAGATCTGTTTTCATCCTTGTGAACAAAATGAATAGATGAGAATGAAGGGACATAGAATTGGGCAACTTAAAGCTGTATCAATTCTAATTTCTTATTTACATTGGTATGTCAATAATATTACTACATAGATCTATATGATAGTAATTAATGAATCATTATGAATTCGGCTATGAGGAATAGTGTACAATGATGAAATTTTCAGGTGAATATCCAATAAAACCCTGCCAAGAGGATGGCAAGAAGTGATGTATAAAAGTGTAATGTTGGGGATGTTAAAAAAGGCTATGTATTTGTTATTCTGACTACTGTATGTACTTGTGTGCTAGCAGATTCTTAGATAAGATGGAGATGAATTTTGCCCACTGAAATTGATTTTATTTGATATTATGTATATATAATAATAATAATAGATAGCATTTGTATAGCGCATATCCCCGCTCAACAGCAGGCTCTATGCAGCTATCTATATAAGACAGTAGATCCACTCACAGAAAGTTAGGTTAAAATCTCCATCATATACACATGTATAAAAATATGTGGTATGTCATGGTCTTTATTTCACATAAAGCCAACTACAAGCCTACAAGTGGGTGGTTGGCAGATGCTCTTGTGTGGTTTGCTTCTTCTTTCCTATCAAACATCTATTGTCCTTTTCTCCCCTCCTTCTTTTTTATGTTTGTTACTCTCATGTAACACCTCTAATCTTCTGGCGCTCATATGACCTCATACTGATGCGAGCGCTGTAAAACCTCTACTAAAACAAACAAGCCTACAATTATTCCTCTCATTTGATCTCCTGTGTGATTTCAGACTTCCAGAGTTTGGCAACACCATGGAGCAGGTCCTGGAGAACTCGATCCTCAACCTGATGTATGAGGCTTTGTCCAGTGAGTACAGCGTGGTCAGCAAGCCCCGGTTCATCGCGATGCCACGGCGACGCGCCTCGGCAAACAGTCGCCAGAGTCAGCAGTGATTGGTGGGACTGTTTCTGTAGCCTCTACAGCTATGTAAAATACACATCAAGCTCTGAATGTATTAGAATAGCAGCATACATGATGATGCAGTGAAGTATTTTTTGTTGTTGCTGTCTTTTCTTTTCTCCCTGCCATAATTCATTTTCTTATTAAGCGAAAGGCCTTGATTCTGTGATAAGATATTATTTTGTATACCTGTAGGTTTGGAATGGAAGTCTTTTGGCGACAAAAAAAAAAATGTGATGAAGCATTCTCTGCTGATTTGGAGCAAGTATTCAGCTTGTTGGATTATAAAAATTTCCACTGTCGTGTCATATTACCTCCTCTTTAAATCTTAGACTTGATCTACTATAACTGAGCATTTTGATTCAGTTTTTTCTTAAATTTTCTGTTCATTTTGTACCCAAATTGTCAAAATATACTATCATAATGTTTATGCGTTAGATATTGTTATGAAAATAACTGTCATCATAATGAGGAGATGAACAAGATAAAGAAGGGAAACAGCAATTATTGCAAAATGATCGTTATGTTGGGATGCTTAAGGTCTTTAAATACACCTCTGGAGACATGCGTTGTGTTTATGGTTATGGCACTGTGCATATTTTTTTGAAGGAAGAGGTATTCTCTAAACTGAAGATGTATGTTAGTGAATGTAAGAATGATATATGGGGTGTATGTGGGGCTAAGTGTTTATGAATAGCACTGGGTCACCTATGATCAACTATATACTTTGTCATGTAGCATGTTGAAAGACTGTGATACAAATGAACCTGTTACATGGGACAGATTTATGTTTGTGCATTTTTTTACCCTGTAGGGCCTATTGTTATATTTTCTACTCTCGTAATATTTGTAAGTACTTCATTTGATTTTTAGCACTGTCATAATATTAGTTTTAAAAAAATGATATGTTTTCTTGGCTTTGAAAAAGATACAGATGTTATTTGGGAAGATGAAAATCTGCTTTGGAGTTTTGCCAATATTGAGGAATGAGATTTTGTATTATGTGAGGAATACCCAAAACTCATGGCAGAGTACGACAATCTAGGGTTGGATTTTTGCTGTCACTGAAATTACTCTTCTTACTCTTTTATTGGCTATTGTTTATGAATGTAATGTTGCATTTTGATTGCTCTGCAGTATGCAGTGCAAGCAGAATCGTATGTCATATTTTTTAATTACTAGGATCTGGATAGGATTGGGAAAGCATTCTTGTGTGTGAAACAGCATTTTACGTATTTCTTCAAATCTCTTTGACAAATATACTTGGTAATTAAGCAATGTTTTCTTCAGTGCCTTCTGTGTAGTAATCAACCCAAATGAATGTTTTCAGAGGAAAGTCGAGATACAGTTGACTGATTCTTTATCACATCTTTACTCTATAGATTTGTATGTAAATGTTGTGTAATGGTGAATGCAATCATTCAGTATTTTTCAAAGCTTTGACTGACTTGTATGTATAGTGTATTTATCTGGTAATAGTCTCACTATGTATTGACTTGTTTAAAAAAGACTTTAAAATCTCAAAATATTGTACATTTCTTTGGAAAACCCTTAACATTTTTAAACCAGCGATATTTCTAGAAATATACTTGTGGAAGATGTGAGTCACAGACAAGAAGCAAAGTATTGTTACAGTTATTAATTAATGAATATCCAACGACTGATCCGCTGGAAATGTATTGAAAACAATGTGTGCCCTGCGAGTTTATCAATGCTGTTCTGCATTATGTAATAAACTCTTCAAAATTTGTCAATGGCAATGAAGCAGTTTGTTTCTGTGTTAGTCCTATTGTGTTTTGTCTCTGTTTGTCCACCCCCCCCCCCACA